CCACCCCTGCATTCCCTATAACACCTTGTATCAGTTATTATCATTATACTTCCACTCCTCCTGGGCTTCACAGCTGGGAAACCCAACAGAAAACAATAAAAAACAAATCGCACTCCGGTGGTAAGGAGGATAAGATCATATTATTATAAAGACAAAACTGGAAATAATGTGTTATGGAAGAAGCCTCTGATCAATATTCAAGAAGCCAGGGAAGAAATTTTTGTTACGAAACAACTAAGAGATGCTTGCACCCAGTACAGATTCAGGTCACATCTGTAGGGAGGTCAGCTGGCCAGGTATTGCATTTGATCCAGCCTAATCAAGATCCATGGTCTCTGGGTACTAGTAAGGCTATTGGGGTGGGGGTGGGGGGACCCTTGCCTTTGGCTAGTGTGGATTTTCCAGAGGCTCAGCCTATTTACTTTGCAGATAGGTTTTGGGGCCCCCACTGTCCTCTGTAGTCCTCTACAAATTGGGTGTTCATAATTTTAGCTCTGATACTTTTCTCTTCACCTTATTTTTTTAAAGCACTCTCCCTCCCTAAAGGAGTTTTTGTGCTCCTGTCTGCTCCTGTAAAGATGGGCAAAACCCCTGGAAACCCTGTCTGTTCCCGTCAAGCTTCGCACACCCTACAGAGGGTCCCTGGATGTGGGAATGCACTGGGTGGTGGTGGTGTGGGTGGTCCTTCATAAAATAAAATGATCTTTTAAAGCCTAGAGAGCAGCCGTTCTCTTTGGGGCATAATGCGTTCTGTTTTTTTCCAGGACACAATTGTAGAAAGAACGTGCTGCAATACCCAAGTGCAATGCTTTGGAGAAGAAGGGGACAGAGGAGCCGATGGGGGGCCTGGGAGCAAGGTAGGGATGTGTTGGGCTGGGGAACGTGGACAGGGAGAGAAGTGACCCTTTACTCTTCACTGCAGGGTATCTACTTAACAATCCTTTGCTAAATTTAAAGCGCTCCTGGTGGTTCAGCACTGCCTGGCGGTTCAAACCCATCAACCACTCCTCAGGAGAAAGACGAGGCAGTCTGATTCTGTAAAGATTATGGCCCTGGAAGCCTATGGCCCAGTTCTCCTCTTTTCTACAGGGTCACTCCGAGACAGAGCCAACTCGATGGCTCACAAAACATTGTCCTTGAGTCGATTCTGACTCCTAGCGGACTTACAGGACAGGGTCGCTCCTGTGGGTTACTGAGACTGTAACTCTTTACCGGAGTAGAAAGCTTGGTCTTTCTCTTGCTGAGCAGCGCAGCTGGAGGTTTTGAACTGCCGACTTATGGTTAGGAGCCCAGGGCATGACCACTACACCACCATGGCTCCTAACTCAATGGCAGTGGGTTTTATTTTAGCTTCTACTTTGAGGTAGGTGTTATCTGACAAGTGTACAACTGAAGTTCAGAAAAGGGCTATCGTTTTCCCCAAATTGCACATTTATGAAGAGAAAAATTGGGCTATAAGCCCTTAGGTCTATCTGACTGCAAGTCTCACATTCTTTTCACCATTTTATGCTGCCTGTTTACATGTGACAAATATTTGTATGAATTCTTTACAGTCATAAATGCCTCTTTATCTCCCACCTACCATTCTTCTCTATATCATTAAACCGAGAGAGAGAGACAGAGAGAGAGAGAGAGGGAGAGAGAGAGAGAGAGAGAAAGGAGGTAGGATAGCTGCTTACATGGGGGTGGTTAATTTCCCCACTGCCCACCCCCTGATTAACTCTAGGCTTTGCTACTTAGAATCTTTGAAATGATCTTCCTATAATCAGGGCCGGCTTGGTTTCATTTTCACAGGAATTACAACTTTATTTTGATGGCCGTATAACCACAAATTCATAGAAAAAGTTAAGTCAAACCCATTGGCATTGCACCAGCCCTGGTGGCTTAGTGGTTACGTGGTTGGATGCTAAGTGCAAGGTCAGCAATTCGAAACCATCAGTGGTTCCTTGGGAAAGATGAGACTTTCACCTCCTGTAAACAGTTTTAGTCTTGAAACGCACAGGGGAATGCTATCCTGTCCTAGAGAGTTGTCTATGAGTCAGAATTGGCGTGATGGCAGTGAGTTTGTTTTGCTTGGTCTTTGGAAGGTTTTCCATGAAGCTGTGGAAGGAGCTCTTGTGGAATGGCTTTGCCATTCAGGCTTCCAAATTTAGGACTGTGCTAAGTGTATGATTACATTTTGAAATATAGATTGTAGTGATGCCTTAGATAACACTATCCCTTTTTCTAGATCCCTTGTTTTAGATCACTAGATTCCTAACATTCGATTCTTTGTCTCTCATTTGGCATATTTTTCTTTAACATCAAATTAGAAAGTTAAATTAGAAACTGCTTGCCATAATTTCTTCATAACTCAGAAAGTGCCTTCAAGAACTCTTTTTAATTTTTTTACTTTTCTGTTCTTTCGGCTTCTTAGGACTTGGTTGTGTAGTTGGTTGGGTAGACTTTCATGCCTTTGTTGATCACAAATAGATTACATTGCTCTGTTTTACTAACCAGGGTTTAGGCTAAATTAAAATACACACACTTACACACACACACACACACAGTTGCCAACTGGGTTAGTGTGTTTAGGTAGGTTAGAGGAAGTAAGGAAAAGAGACTCAATATCTGAGTCACACAGAAATAAGTAACCATTCTCATAAGTAAAATGGTTATTACTTACTGATGTTCTTTAAAACAAGACCAGAATTCTCTTCAAGAGTTTTTCTGTAAGCTTTGAACTAGAACCCCATCTTGGTTTGGATTTTCAAAATAGCATGGTTGATGATTACCCCTCCTCCCTTCAGAATTATTCTTTGAAAGCATGGAGATTTTGTTTATGGGTATGGAAAATTAGCAAAGGATATTGGCGATGGATTTACAACCTGATTGAGGTAATTGATCTTACTGAATTGTATATGTGAAAAATATTGAACTGGCAAATGTTGTGTTAGAGATATATTTTGTTACAAGCATTAAAATAGAATTATATAGAAGTCTAAATGTACTAAAGAGGAGATGGGTCTTTTAGAAATATAATTTTAAAAGATATTTGGGGAAAATTGAAAAAAGTTGACTATGAAAGCAAAGAAACATTCAATATTCTAACAAGGCCGAGAATATCCCAGCAGCCTGAAGACCCGGCGTGGGGAGGGCGTTCTGTTGGGGCACCTAGCCGAGTCTCAGTGAAACGTTGACTCAGGAGCAAGGGTTTCCAGGGTTCCTACCTTATATGGATCTGAAGAATTTTGAATCCAAGTTATTCATTCCACTTGCTCTTTTCCTTAGGGAGAGAAGGGTCCTGGTGGATTTCTGGGCCATCCTGGTCAAATCGGAGCACCGGTAAGTAATGAACCTTAATTTTTCTCTTTGAAGGACTGTGGTAAATGGATCGAGTATTAGTGATGCTTAATTGTACTTAAGTCATGCAGGTTTGTCTAATCTATCCAATTTTAAATGAGTTTAATTAACTGTGTAAAAACAATCATTTATTAACACAAATGTCAAGTGGACACTGTTAAAAAGATATGTCTCTGAAAAGTGCTTAATGATAAAGTACGGTTGTTTTGTTTTTTAGACCTTGGAGTTGTGATAACTAGAAACACGTCCTAATGTGCATGAATGTAAATCACCTGTCAACTGAGGGCTCAATTACAAAATAGGTGGATACTTTTTATAAAGTAAATCCCTGAGTTGTACAAAAGGTTTTCCCTTGGCTACTAACCAAAAGGTTGGCTGTTCAAACCCACCCAGTGGGTGCATGGGAGAAAGGTTTGGCGGTCTGCTTCCATAAAAACTACAGTCAAGAGCACCCTGTGGAGCTCTTGTCTACATGGGGTGCCCACCAGTTGGAATTAACGTGGTGACAATGGGATCTATTCCTAAAATACCCACGCCTGCAAGTGACTTAACAAAATGAATTGGAGCAGATCCAAGACAATTCTTACCACTAGGTCACCCAGTTGCCTTCCTGAGTAACCAAGAAGGTGGTTGAGGTATAGTTGCCCAACAGTGGTTTCCATATCACCCAGGGGAATGTGCTGGGCAAGGAAAAGTTACATATCATGCCATGTGATTGGCTGTGGATTAAGAAAGAAAGAGACACCTGTATGTATATAATGATTACATAAACAAAGCCGCTCTAAACTCACTGCTCTTGGGTCCATTCTAATCCACGTCAGCCCTGAAGGACAGCGTAGAACTGCTCTTGTGTTGTTTCTCCTGCTCTAAGTCTTTACAAGAGTAGAACGCTGCATCTTTCTCCCCTGGAGCCTCAGGGTCAGCAGTTCAAAACCACCTGCCACTCTGAAAGAGAAAGATGAGGCTTTCTACTCTCATTAAGAGTTATCGTCTCAGAAACCCACAAGGGGAAGTTCTACTGTGTCCTATCGCGTCTGTTGTCATTATGGGTTGGAATCGACTTGACAGCAGTGAGAGAAATTACTGAAGTAGGAAACTAGAATAGAGTAGGGACTGTCTTTGTTGTTGCTGGGTACTATCCGACTCATCATGATTCTACGGAACAGAACACAACACTGCCCAGTCCTCCACCTCCTCAAAATCTTGGAATCCATATGTTTGAATCCATTGTTGCATTCACTGGGTCAATTCATCTTATTGAGGGTCTTCTCTTGTTTTTTTCCCCCCTGACCCTCTACTTTACCAAGTATTATGTCCTTCTTCAGGGTCTGGTCTGTGCGAAACCGAGTACCGGGAAGAGAGTGTACGTGGACAGATTCTCTACACATAGTTTAAGGAGTCTGGGAGCCTGAGACTCTCGTGGAGGGAGGCCTTTACATTTGTGTGTTGGAGATGCAGTCCAGTAAAATTCTTCTAACTGAAGTTATTCCCCATGATGTCCCCCTTAATAATGCCAATTTTAAGGTGCTGCTTGCAAGTACATGGTTGCTACCAGGTACACTGGAAGGTTACCTGCCTGAAGGTTGTCTGCCATTAAGAGCAATCAGGCCCTTTTGTCTGTCCTTCCCTAAGTAGGGCCCACCCCCTTCTGATAAGGATCATAGATTGTTCCCCTGGAGAAGAGCCCAGGGACACCTAAGGTCAAGACAGCCCAGAGATGACCAAGGTTAGGCTGCCATCTTAACTCTGGAACCTGCCTATCTTGTTATGTATGTACCTTCCTGTCACATGTATGCCTCTAGCACCTCCCCTTCCTATTGCGTGCACACCCCTAGCTTGTCCCCCTCCGGTTCCTGTTCTGTACGTGTGGCATGTGGCTTGCATGCTTGAGATTATATAAGTTTGTGAGAGAATGCATTCACCCCTCACTCTGGCTCCGCTCACCATGGGAGAGGTGAACACTTGCATGCCTTGTCTGTTGTTTCTTTAATTTGCCCTTCAATTACACAATTGGCCCCTAGGACTCATTTGAATGTGGAGGCTGGTCCCCCTCACTCTTCCCTCTGGACAACAAAAGTTCATGAGGCAAAGCCTTGCCATCCTTGCTTCTAAGGACCATTCTAGTTGTATTTCTTCCAAGACGGATTTAATGGTTCTTCTGGCAGTCCATGACATATTCAATATTCTTTGATAATGCCATCATTCAAAGGCATTGATTGTTCTTCAGTATTCCTTATTCATTATCTAGCTTTCACCTACATAGGAGGTGACTGAACATACCTCGACTTGGATCAGGGACACCTTAGTCCTCAAAGTGACGTCTTTGCATTGTTTAAAATTAAAAGAGGTCTTAAGCAGCAGATTTCCTCAACGCAATACATCACTTGATTTCGTGACAGCTATTTCTGTGAGCAGTAATTGTGCATCTTCATTACATAATATAAATCCCAGTAGAATGTTAAAAAAAATCCCAAAGCCTTCTTTTGTTTATTTATTTTTTCATTTTGAACTATGGAAGATTCCTTTGTGGCACGTGCCTCTTTCACATTGATTTGTATTCCTACTGGTCCTCAAACTTCTGGACTGTGGGTATTTTTACCTGCTCCAAAGATGATTGAAGATGTTGATGAAAATGTTGTTTGTGGTGGTTCTTATCAGCATTGGCCAGATGAGAAACTGAAGTGGAGAACATCCTCAATGTTGTCATTTTAAAAAATGACGTAAATAACCCCTTCATAAGTTACGATAATGACATATTTCTTTGTGAAAATAGCTGTGGTTCCTAACCCGCACCCGGCCCCCAACTGTGAAAAGAGTGGCATTACTTTGACACGTTCCCATGTCTTGGATGTTAGCTTAAAAGAAGACAGCTGGGTTCTCATAGCTGCTTCTGTTTTCACTGTTGATGGCACACATGCTGACCTTGTGAAAACTCTACTGGGCAGTTCCAAGAGCGAGCGAGCAAGCAAGCAGTGTTTTAGTGTTATTGGAAAAAGACCTTTAATCCTGTGAATCCCCTGAAAGAATTTCAGGGACCCCAGGTGTCCTTGGACCACACATTGTGAAATGCTATTATATGCAAGCATTAACATTCCTACTGGTATACTTGGACCAGTACATTGTTTATGATGCTGAATATTTAGGCTGGCCGAACTTGGAAAAGAATCAAGAAGGACAGAAAAATCCAGCTGTTCAGATCCATGTCAGCGGGTCCGTGCTTCATTACACTTATGGTGGAATCACTCCTTTTCTTTGCGTGGTTCCTCAGCCAACATAGCCTTCTGGTTGTTAGTAGCTGTGGGCTTACGGTGGCTCTGAACTTACGGTGATCCCAGGTACATTGGTATCAGGCTATGTGTTCCCGAAGATATTCATTGGCTGATGTTTAGAAGTAGATCGTCAGCTTTTCTTCCCCATATTTTCTGGGTTGGAATTCTGCTGACCGTCATTCCAGATCACAACAATTGAGCCTCACAGCAACACACCACCCTTCAGCGGCTGCACATGAAGTGCCTCGGCTGGGAATCGAACACAGGTCTTCCCGAACACAGGCAAACATCCTGCCGTTGAGCCTCAGCTGCCCTCAAGCAGCACCTTAGATGTTGTAAATAAATGCAGAAATGTGAAATTCAGATTTCTACTACTTTGCTTAGAAGCTAGTGAAACTTTCCCTTCCCATTTGTAGGGTATTTTAAGATGTCCTTTCAGCGTTATTTCATCCTGCCCCTGTTGGGGAGAGGTTGTCCAGAGAGTCAACGAGCCCGGCAAAAGTGAAGAGAGTCATGGAAGATTTGTTCCATCCACTCGGATCTTTGACTCTAGTTTCAGACAGGCGGAATAAGCCCTTGTCAAATTGTCACCTACTCTCTCTTTTTTCTCCGAGGGATAATTCTGGGAAGAGTCATACCAATAGAATGATGGATGTATAGCAACGGAAACTTCAGAATTTGGGACTGGAAGTCAAACGAGTGTTGGCATTTTTACGAAGTTCTGTTAAAAAACGAAACCTTAAGAATTTCTCCTTGGTGTCCCTGCTTTGTTAGGGGCATTTGTTTTGAAATTGTAATTATTTTCTAATAAAGGAAACAGGATTGGTCACTGAAGTCCTGGTGATGCCCATGAACATGTCCTTGCTCAGAAATAGGGTTTGGGATGACGTAATCAGTTACCACGAGGCTATTTTAGGGTAGCACGGGTCTTCATCCCATTTACATGCTGCTTTTTATCAACAGGCCAAAGAATACATAACGCGAGGTGGTGTGGTGGATGTGTTTGAATTATATGCTGCAGATGAAGCTTGCATGGTTTTCCTGGGCTGCCGGAACAAAATGCCATAGAGCAGGTGGCTTTCAGCAGCCAGACTTTGTTGTTTCATGGTTCTCGGACTGAGAACATAATTCCTTCTGCGGCTCTCAGGGAGACTCTGCTCCATGGCCAGGCTCTACCTAATTTCTAGTGGCTCTGGTGTGTAGCTGCAAACTCATGGCTTCCTCCCTCGGTCTCACGGAGCCTGTTCTCTTTTATAAGAGCAGCATGTAGATGACATGAAGTCCCATCCTACTCTGGTATAAGCTCCTGTTACAGGATCACTTCATCCAAAGATCCTATTTCGGAACTAGGATGAGGTCACAGGTGTCAGATATTAGGACTTCAGCAGTTCTTTTTCTGGGAGATACAATTCAATCCATACAAAGTTTAAACAACAGACATGTAGCTGAAAAACATATATAGATTAGGAGGAAGGATTGTGGGAGCAGACATTTAAAAACGTATCTATTGTGTGTCAGGACCACATTAAGTATCTTATATACATTATCACATTTAATCCTCATCCTGCACTTACTGATTTGTGTGAATATTTTCACTTTTGACTTGTTAAGGCCGCACAGGGATCCCTGGTGGTGTAATTGCTAAGGGTGTGTCTGCTAATCCAAAGATCCAATGTTCATGTCCATCCAACAGTTACAGGGCAGAAAAGATCTGCCAAGATGTTACTATAAAGGTGGCAGCCTAAGAAAACACTCCAGGGAAAACCTACTCTCTCTGTAGAGTTGCTGAGTCAAAATCGACTTGTCACCACACACCACCACCACCAAAGCTCACGGATAAAGGGTTGGAGATGGGTCTGAACTCATGTCTACCCGATATCAGTATCTGTGCCTTTCTCATCTTTTCTTGCTGTTTTAGTATCAAACACCTCATTTGTTCCATTCCCATAGTTGGTGAGTTGTTTCACCACATTGTCTTATGTATTCGATGCGACAATCCTGTGAGATGGTTGGAATCAGTATTCCTTGGATCCACTTTTTAGAAATGGAGAAATGTGATTCACCGAGCCAAGGACTTGATCAAGTTCCCAAACTAAGTTGGAAACAGAATGAGGACTTGAACTCATGCCCTTTCGTTCTGGGTCCGGGGAGTCTTCACCTTCTCACTCTTCCGTGTGCCTTTCTGTGGTCCCGGGCAGCTTAGGAAGGACAGTTCCCCAACCTCCTAAGTCAAAGTTTGATGTTCCCATTAAAGATGCACCCCGCTTTAAATAAATCTATGTGTGAATTAGGTAGGGGTTGACATTTCAGATCATAGATCCTCTTTTGATGAAAGTTCATGGGATGTATGATACTTTCTAATTAATACTTAGTCAATTTGGCAAAAACCTGATGGTTATGATCTCCTTCCTTAGCTAACACCTGGTTCAGAGGTTATACATATGCCTCATTCTTCAAATCCTAATCAGATATCTACCGTGTGTTGTTCAAGCTCATGTTAGTTCCCCAGACTGCTGTACTAATAGGACTGTGCTTGGGGATGGAGACAAAAAAGTAAATACACAAGACATTGTTCTTGCCTTCAATATAGCAGGGAATTCTACAGGCAACTTGAAGGGGTAAGAGAAAAATTTCAAAAGGGTTGGCATCATGAGCTATGCTTGAGGAATGGGTAGGATTTCACCTAGAAGCAAAACAGTGTTAAGTGTGGTTTATTCTTTGTGGCACCCTACGGAACTCTCCATCTAGTTTCAGCTACCTGCAGGAACATTGGAGACACACCTTTTTTTTAAAAAAAAAATCAATTTATTGGGCGCTCTTACAGATACCATAGCAATCCCTAGTTCAATAACACCAAGCAGTACTGTACAATTGCTACCACAATCGGTTTCAATACATTTTCTTTCTTCTTGAACTTCTTGATATCAGCTCACCTTTATCCCCTCGCTCCTCATCCCAGCCCCCAGGAACCCTTATTATTATAATAGTTTTTTTAACCACATCTTACATAATCCAATATATCCACTCATCTACAATTCTGTTGTTCGATCCCATCCAGTGGGGTTTTATAGTCATCAATGCTATCAGCTCTCGATTCCCCCTGACCCCCAGCTTTTCCAGTACCCCCAGGGAACCATTACTCCTGTTACTGTTTCTGAAGGGTTATCTATCTTGGCTTTCATATACTGAACGATCTTAATTATACAAATGAACATAGACAAATCTTACATGATTAGTGAAGTAAAACAAGTAAAAACAATAATCATAAGGGGAGGAAATCTTAAAGAACTAGAGGATAGTTATGTGGTTCATCAGTGCCATGCTGCACCCTGGATTTTTAATCTCTTCTGTGTGGCTCTTCTGAGAGGGACTGTCCAATTATCTATACATGGGTTTTGAGTCTCCACTATATCCACGCTCCTTAATATTGATTTGGTTGCTTGTATTTGAACTTCTGAGACCTCTACCTGTTGACACCTCATGGTCACACAGGCTGGTGTGCTTCTTCCACGTGGGCTTTGTTGCTTTCCTGCTACATGGCTACTTGTTTAACTACAAGCCTTTAAGACTCCCAGATGCTATATCTCTTGATAGCCGGGCACCACCAGCTTTCTTCAACACATTTGTTTAAGTACCCATTTGGTCTTCAGTGATTGCAGACACACTTTTTGTTTTCACTTGAACTCTGAAGTTTTGACCATGTAGCTAGACTAGGTTGGGGAAGATGTAAATAATTTGGTTTTGTATTATTTGGGAACATCTGTGTGGGCAGTTGAAGAATAATGTGTAATCTGACTGCCTTGCAGGTGATTTCATCAGGACTTTGAGGATGTCTATGTCACTGTCAGAAATGTGACTTTAGTTACGGAATGAAACTTCAGTCTTTCTGAGCGCCCTCATTACTGGTTTGATTGACTGGTGATGATACACTTACCTGTCTATCTTCCTGTGTGTTTTTATTCCACAGGGAGAACGAGGCTCCCAGGGTCTCCCTGGACCCCGAGGGGAGGAAGGATGCCCAGGTCTGAGGGGCCCTAAGGTGAGTATGTCATTGAGCTGTGGAATTGATTCCCTGGCTTACTTTCACTTCTGAGTTTGAAGAAAATCTTAATTCTCCAACATCGCTATGGAGCCTTAACTTCTCAGCTTGAGAGCACCTTAGTTTACATTTCTCAGGCAAGAGCCAGAGAACAAGCGCAATTAGTGTCCTAGGAGCTTAGCATCGGTTATCACTAGTAGGAGCGTGGGCAAGTCTTTGAGGAGGGAAAGTGCTGTGTATAAATTATCTGATTACTGAGAGTAGATGGACGTTCATCCTGCTGGCCCATTCTGGGAACTACTGCCAAACACGCTCCTTTGTGTGATCCTGCTTGAACGGCAAGGGAGGTGTGGTGTTTACGTACTAACTCTTTCCAGGTATTAGTTAAGGGCTGCTTTGGGGAGAATTAATTCCCCAGCACATCTGATATGTGGGTAGAGCAGGCACTGGTTCCAGAGAAAATTCACAGGGAAAGCACGGCAGGTGCTGCTGGTTGGGAGCTGGGCTTGGAAGCATTGGCATTTTAAAGATGGAAGAGGTGTGGGTAAATAGCCTCAATGGGTAGCCACACTACATGTTCCTCAATCTCCCAGGATTAGAGGATCTTTCTAATAAGGCCAAGAAAACTATTTTTCAGCCTTGGCATCCAAAATAAAAGTTTTTTCGGAGAACAACAACCA